CAGCAGGAAAGGAGAGTCCACCTATTTTTTTAATTAAAGTTAGCATTTCCTTTGGTGTTTCAGTCTTGGCAACAGAACTGGAACACAAGTGCCCGTAGGGAGATCCAGAAACAGCTGAAATTCAACCCTAATTGTTATTCGTTAGGAAGTAGCTCATGGCACCTTTGCACTTTTTGCCCCTTCTTCTCTGCAGATGCGCAGCCTTCAGTAAAACACAACTGCCTGCTGCGCCAAACAAATTAGGGCTGTACTGTGTGCAAGAAGGTTGAATACAAATTAAACCACCCTCAGATCACGGACCTCTTCTCAGCTGTATCTTTCCGAGATGTTACTGTTGCATGCCTATCCCAGAAAAGCAAGCAAACTGAGATCTCCTCTTTTGTGAAATATGCTGGCTTAGAGCTGAAAAAATTCCTACTTGGCAGAGCTTGGGCTAGAAACTTGGTCTTTAAAAAGGCAGCCTTAGGTATTCACTTGCACAATATGTCCAATTGCATGTGCCAAATCTCTGGCATTTGTTGAAAAAAACCCATAGATTATTGTTACTATCAAATAATTGTTACTATCAAATAGCAGCAGACATCATCATGGGTGTCTGGTGCCACTCACATCCACCTTGTTGTTTCATCTTCTCTCAGTGAAACTCAAAAGTGTTGTGCCAGGGGTTGGAAAGCACAGACTTAGAGGAGCAGGGTTCCAAGAACTTAATGGAAAACATTCACAACTGAGATAAAGAAAGTGTACCCTTTAATATTGGATGTTCAGAGGGAGATTGCTTAATGCGGAGAAGCAGAGCAGAAAGAAGGGAAGTGGTAGGATCATATCTTTAAAAAAGATATGCCTTTGATTTTGATGTGGAAGAAGTTATGGAAGAAAATAGACACCTTGTGGTAAGACACAGATGGTCTAAATTCTTCAAAGATTCCTCTTGCCTTATTAATAAAGGATGCATTCACTCCTGCAAAAGCTACTGGGAGAGGAATCTGAAAGGAAAAAGTTGAATTTTACTTTAATCACTGCCATAACACCTTCTCCCAAGGGAAAAAAAAAAAAGAAGCAAACATTTGCATCCACTGCTTGATAGTGATCTATTCAGCCCACACAGCCTCTCTGAAGGGCAGCAGGCTGTGAAAACCCGTTTTCAGTTATTTAACAGACATGTGTCACATTTCAGCTAGTCTAATTGCACAAGAGTTCAAACACACGCAGGCGGAGAATTCAAGAATGGTTGTTTCTGCCAGTGCTGTGGTGGCATTTAGGGATCCATATGCAGGGCGGGGAGGGCATCAAAAACATATATTCTGCACTCACATCTCTGGAGATGGGGCCTGGAGCATCCCTCTGGGAAAAAGGAGTTGTATGAATGGCGATAAGGAGTAGAATATTGCATTTTAATAGTAAGGTCCCCAGCGCTGCCAGGAAAGGGCTTCAGGCCGCAAATCTTTGTGAGGCTCAGCTGACCAATGACTGCCTTGGGAATTTGCCTCTGAGAGGGCAATAGGGTTTAAAAGATATCCCTGTCCTCCGCACTGTTTCCCTAGCCAAATGCAGTGGATTTGGTGAATTCTAAGACAACTCACGTCTTCCTGCATTGCCAGGTGCCAGCCCAGGGGGTTGAATGCTCTTTGAAGGCTGTGTTCCAGAGATACATTGAGGTATGAGTACTGTGAGTGCTGCTAATTACCCTCTTTTGCCAATAAAAGGTGGGATTCAGTTACTGAAACATCCTGCATCATTTTAGGTGAAATGAGATGCCCCACATAGTCTTCAGCTGCAATCCTTCCAGAAAGAGATATGTGTCTCAAATCCCATCACCTTTGTCATATTTGCCATTAGGGTTGAAATACCTCACATAATAAAAACATCATGAGTGGCACCAGGACCCTAGGTCTAGACAATCAAATCACACTTAAAAGTGTCCTACCCAAATATTTACTTGGGTAAATACTACTTGCCTTGCTACCATTCAGTGTTCACAGGACACATGGCTGCACTTCAGAATGTTTTTTTCTGAAACAAGCAGCAAAAGCCACTTTCAAACTCAGGAAGAGCAAAGGCTAGTAAGACATTATCTTCTCCAGATAAGTCTATATAAATATTCAGTGAATAAATTCTGAAATCTAGAGGGTATTCTCTCACAAATAAAAGAGTAATTTATCATTGCCATATTGCCATGAATGCAAATAGATGAAATAACACAAGTGGTTTTACCTGGACATGGTTGGGAAAACACAAAATAAGCCTTTCAGGCCAAAGCTTTGAAAGCTGACAACACAGAGCTCAGTTATTGTTATTTAGTATGTTTTGTTTACCATCTAGTCTTGCTGTGATCATAACCAGATTGAATTTCTCCGCACGCATTTATGTCACCAATATATGCAGCAATGTCTGAATGTCCTATTCTTGCCAGGTTTTGAACATCATTTTCTTCCACAAACCAAAACAATTTGAGGTTTTGTTACCTCAATGGCTTGATCTCAGGATGTTTCTTTCAAGTCTTCCAGGTCTCGGATAAAATGGCAAAGCAATCTGGTTGCTCAGAATCAGGAACATCAGATCACAGAAGAAAGATGTCCCTACAGAGCCCTTGGCAGAGGGACTGTGGGGAGTGAAGTGTGGCAACACATTTCCCAGAACAGCCAGGAAGCTGGGGATGATATCTTTACAGTTTCAAAATGAGAGCAACCAGCAGGTATTGTCTGGTGGGCAAGCAATACCAAATGGTCAGTGTGGGGGCCCAAGAATTGTCTTCCTCAACTTTATTTCTTAAGCCCTCAAGGACAACCATGCCTTGTGAATGGCAGTAAAAGATTTTTGTCTTGCTTTCAAAACTAGAACATCTCTGTGGTAGGGTTTGGATTTTATTACAGCCCTCTACAATTGCCACCTTGGCTCCTCCCAAAGTGGTGTTCAGAACTTCCACCTGGGCTGAGACATTCATGCCTCTTAGCTCAGGGTGATCCTCTCAGTGCTCCTCTGTGCTGAGCAGCTGCACTTATTTTTTTCTTTTTTAGTACCTATCTGGTGAAGCTGGAGAAAACGTTTTCCTTTCTAGATTACACAGCAATTCTGTGAAGTGGGGCAGCACTAGGGTTTGTTGGCCATCCACAAACCAAACAAATGAAAGCAACTCTCCTTAAGGGCCACAGACTACAGATAAACTTAATCTAAGTTGTTACTCCCTCAACATGTCACTCCCTTTCCAAACACTGTGGACTTGCAATAGCTTTTCATTCTGTCTTTAGGTTTCTCAATAGAAAATTGCTTTTCTTTCTTCATTGGGCTGGTTCTTCTTGGCAAAACCAGCCATTGTGTTAGAGCTCCTCACTCTACTCAACTAGCTCCAGCTACTCAATTCCGTTTCCTTCCTCCTGTCTTGGCTCTCCAGGGGGTGGCACTTCCTGCAGCTTATTATGGCCACTAGAAAACGGGTAAACTTTTCATGCAGAAATTTTTCTTTTATAGTGAAAAGAAGTACTCTGACAAGGAGTGTGTTGAATGTATTTCTTTTAGAAGTTACACACTTAAGTGTAGCCTTTGTAGAATCACAGAATAGTTAGGGTTGGAAAGGACCTTAAGATCATCTAGTTCCACACCCCCTCTATCATGGGCAGGGACACCTCACACTAAACCATCTCACCCAAGGCTTCGTCCAACCTAGCCTTGAACACTGCCAGGGATGGAGCATTCACAACCTCCCTGGGCAACCCATTCCAGTGCCTCACCACCCTGACAGTAAAGAACTTCCTCCTCGTAACCAGTCTAAACTTCCCCTGTTTAAGGTTTAACCCACTACCCCTTGTCCTCTCACTACAGTCCCTAATGAAGAGTCCCTCCCCAGCATCCCTATAGGCCCCCTTCAGATACTGGAAGGCTGCTATGAGGTCTCCACGCAGACTTCTCTTCTCCAGGCTGAACAGCCCCAGCTTTCTCAGCCTATCTTCATACAAGAGGTGCTCCAGTCCCCTGATCATCCTCATGGCCCTCCTCTGGACTTGTTCCAACAATTCCATGTCCTTTTTATGTTGAGGACACCAGAACTGCACACAATACTCCAGGTGAGGTCTCACAAGAGCAGAGTAGAAGAGCAGGATCACCTCCTTCGACCTGCTGGTCACGCTCCTTTTGATGCAGCCCAGGATACGGTTGGCTTTCTGGTCTGCAAGCGCACACTGAAGCCGGCTCATGTTCATTTTCTCATCGACCAGCACCCCCAAGTCCTTCTCCACAGGGCTGCTCTGAATCTCTTCTCTGCCCAACCTGTAGCTGTGCCTGGGATTGCTCCGACCCAGGTGTAGGACCTTGCACTTGGCATGGTTAAACTTCATGAGGTTGGCATCAGCCCACCTTACAAGGCCACCTCATTTCTGGTCTCCAAGCTGGACATTGAGCCATTGACCACAACTCTTGGGTGTGGCCATCCAGCCAGTTCTTTATCCACCGAGTGGTCCATCCATCAGATTGATGTCTCTCCAATTTAGAGACAAGGATGTTGTGTGGGACAGTGTCAAATGCTTTGCACAAGTCCAGGCAAATTACACCAACTGTCCATCAGTTCTGTAGCCCCACCATAGAAGGCCACCAAATTGGTCAGGCAGGATTTCCCCTAAGTGAAGCCATGCTGCCTGTCACCAAGCACCTTGTTGTTTTGCATGTGCCTTAGCATGCCATCCAGGAGAATCTGCTCCAAGATTTTGCCAGGCACAGAGGTGAGACTGACTGGTCTGTAATTCCCCGGGTCATCCATTTTCCCCTTCTTGAAAATGGGGGTTATATTTCACCTTTTCCAGTCATCGGGAACTTCACCTGACTGCCATGATTTTTTGAATATGATGGCCAGTGGCTTAGCAACTTCATTAGCCAGCTCCTTCAGGACCCGCAGATGGATTTCATCAGGACCCATGGACTTGTGGATGTTCAGGTTTTTAAGAAGGTCTCGAACCAGTTCCTCTCCTACAGTGGTCCCAAGGTCTTCATTCTCACAGTAAAAAAAAAAAAAAAAAAGGTGATGGATTTGCAGGCATTGCTTCTATAACACTTTGGCACTCCTGAGAAATTGCATCGATGGAGTCCAGCACCGGGATCATTATAGCAGGGAACTTCAGGATCTTCTCCTTGACACCAGCCACCAGGACCTTGGTGCTTTGAGGGACTTTTGTGTTGGTCAGCAAGATCTTCAGCAGCAGCACCTTCTTTAATGGTGTGATTTTTCCTAATTGGTATCTCAGGGCTCCACCCCAGGTACCAAGAGCATTATCCACCCCTGAGGGGTTGCCATGGATCACCCGCTCCCCTTGGAAGGCCCAGTGGTTAATCAAAGCCAGCTCTCCTTCTGTCCACCCGGCCATGGATTCTCCCTCCTTCAGAGGGCAGGAGATGGCTCCACACACAGTCAACAGGGCCGTGGCCAAGCAGACAACGTAGGCAGCACTGAAACCCAGACCAGCTCCTGTGGGCAGCTCCGACCACACAAGTACGTCCATACTGGGAACATCTCCATGGTTAGCCAAAATAGGCAGGTACATGTAAAGGAAGGCAAGAACAGCGAGGATCTCAGGAGCCGAGGCTCCGGCAGCAATGCCAGCAAACTCTTTCAGTGTATCCAGCTGCTCTGCATTGAGGGACTTTGATTCATCAATGCCAGCTGCAAAGCCCCTCCGCAGGACCTGGAGGCTGAGGGCGCCCCAGCTCCTCATGACTCCGACCCCGGGCAGGCGGATGCACACCCTGCTCTCGCTGCAGGGCCGAAAGGCGGAGGAAGGTCTTCAGGTCCAGCGCCACGGCTAAGGCCGCCTTGCCATGGCACCACAGCATGCTCCCTGTGCAGGATCTCCTTCTCCGGCACCGACACCACCAGGCTCTGCTCCCACATCTCCCGCTGCGGGACCTGGCACCCTGGGAGCCCCACACCACTGCCTTGGTTGCTCCGCACCGGCCACTCTCTTCTTGTAGAGGAGAGGGGGGAAAGATCAATAAATAAACAAACCATAAAGACATCTTTTCCAGAGTCAACGGGATGAAGGTGAAATGGCACTGAAGAGGCCATGAGGTTATCTGCGTGCTCAGTGTTCATTGGTCTACCAGCATAGAGTCATAGAATTGTTAGGGTTGGAAAGGACCTTAAGATAATCTTACTAAGCCTTGCACAGAAATTAGGGAACATCGTATCACAGAATGCAGAGGTCAGACACATGGCTTACAGCCTCAGCTCCTGGAAGCATAGGAGTAGAATTTAAATTTTAGTATCTTAGAAGAAAAAACCAAACACACACACACAAAAAAAACAAAAGAGCACAACCAACCCTGGTTGCTAGGAAAACAGCACACATACAAAAAAACCCAGTTCTGCTTTCCAAATAAGGCTCTTTAGCCAACTAGAATACCTCAGCATCATATAATTAATTATTTTTTCTTGTGAGACTAGTAGTGTAATGCAATTAGCATTAATTTGGAGAGGAGTAAGGAAATGGCTCACCATGACCAAGCATAAAGGACAAATTACTCATACAGGCAGAGTCTCTGGTTATAAGTAATCCAGTCACAAGTGTGAGATGCAGAGTAGCACGGCTAACACTGAAAAGAAAATTTAAATTGGATTTGAAGTTAGCTGACTTAAAGTCAGTGTCAATCTTGAAGTGGCAAAGGCATTTAGGACTGGATACTAAAGTCACCTGAATGTAACAGAAGATCATTTGGATCAAATTACTTCGTATGGAGGGGCTGAAATCAGAAAGCAGGGGTAAGGCTGTGCAGGTAGAGGTGGTGTCAAGCACTGTGATTCAGACAGGCACAGGTAGAAAAGAAATAGCAGCTGTCACAGTGAACAGGCACTGGCTATGACCAGAAAGACAAATAGTGCCACCATTTGCCTAGAGAAATTTCCCTAGCACCAGTGTTACTGAAAATGAATTAATGTTGTTTATATATTACCATTTTTTTTCCAGAGTTCCTTTGAATCTGATGAACAAATCTTAAAGGCAGGGACCAGACCTTTCCAACACCAACCAGAGGAAAAGCATACTTTGAAGTTGTCTTATAGACCCTTTCCCCTGACAATTTACACAAAACTTACTGCAAGGGCACCAGATGAAAATTTACCTGATGATATTGGACAAGGAACAGTTTTCTCTTTTGAGTATGTCTTCACATAAATATAAGTGACTGATAAGCCATTTTCATTTTTTATGCTCTTTAATTTTTTTCTTTATATGTTGTGTATCTGAACAAATTACTCCCTCAATTTGTAAACCATCTCACACAGTGTTTTTTCTAAGAATACAGGACATCAAATGCTTTGACCTTGTCAAATCATAGAAACTGGGTAAGGGTGGAGTGGAATGACTTGAATGGCAAGCCTTCAGTGTATCCCAAGATACTTGGAACCCAAGAGATGGCTCCAGATAAGTAGGTGGCATCCTTCCCCCAAGCAGGATATAAACCAAAGTTATCAGGAAAAGGGGACTGTAATCTTGATTTGTCTGGATTCTGAGACTTGCTGTATTTGGTCCAGCTCAAAGCCAAAATTAACATCTTTAGCTTAAAAACAAGGCCATTTTAAAGGCCTAATATCTGAGGAAAATTCAGATATATTTAAAAAGTTCAATTGAACCATCACTTTGGAGAAAAACAAACAATAAAAAACCCCACCCAACAAAATAAGAACACAACCACCCAGTAATATTCTAGCTCTGGCATCCTAAAAAATAGTAGGCCAAAAAAATGTAATTCTAAATATACAGGCCTTTCTAATCACTCTGCTGTGAAACTTGTAGGATTTACAATTTCCCAAGTCAAGAAAATTAATGATTTGTTCCTTTACAAAACACATGGAGTGCCAGCCCTCAGAAAAACACTCAGGATGAAACCCTAACTCCAGCAGCCCAGGAGAAACCAGATGCTGAAATCAGGTGGATGCAAGTATAAATGATGCAAAATAACTTATGTTCAACAGACCCATATAAAGGCTTTGAGAAACAGCATTCCTAAATCTTGGTGTTAGACCAGCTATTACTAAACACAAAAACCCAAACCAAAACACAAATCCCTACAGTGCAGGTACTGATAGGAGTATTGGTTTTTTGGATGAAACAGAAAAAGTAGATCCTGTATTCTTGTGTTAGTTGAGATCCCTGAGCAACCTTTCTAAATCAGGACTGTCCAGCTTTCTGCTTTGCCTCCAGTTTGACTCTTTGCTCTCTCCACTGCCCATTGGGAATCACTTACTATGACTGCAATTTTGAAAAGTCCCTTTACTTCCTGTCCTTAATCTCATGTAGCGTTGCAATAAATCAGTATATATCATATCTGTTAAATGCAAGGTATTCAAGGGCAACCCATACAGGCTTTAGGAGTTTCAGATCCTCTGGAAGAAATGTACTGAAAACCATCATAATATAAGCAAGTAAAATTGCAGACCCAGACTTATTTGAGCAACAATAAAAAGGGATGCATTTATTGCACTCTTTTGATATTGAAGTACCCATTTTTCAAAAGGCATCTAAATTAATGCCTCCAAAATCAAGCTCAATTATTTGGTGCAAACAAAGCACTTCAACACCTAGCTAAATGGTACACAGAGTTGTTTATAGAGGTAGAGTTCACATAGGGAAAATGCATTCACAATACTGACTCCTCTTTGAAAATGTCAAGGTACTGTCCTAAAGCTCTAGAGACAAAGCCTCAGCCAGTGTATAGTGCCAGCTCCAAAAATGAGGCTGTGAGGAATTTCTGTTTTCATAGCTTAGCATCCATATCAATTACTTCTAACTTAAAACCACAAGTCACAGAACAAAGACAAGGTTTTACAATGCAGTGCTTTCAGTTCAAAGCATCCTAATAATATGGGGTTAAGAGGTCCCTCTTCCTAACCATGACCTTTATCTTAAAGTTCAATATAAAAAAACTTCAGAAGTTTGAAGAACCATAGTTCAGAGCATAATCTCCCCGATTCTTATTCTTCATTCTGCTCCTGAATTGCTAGGGATAGTTTCTTCTATCAGAATTGATAGTGGTTCATTGTCTTCCCTAAAGATGTGGCAACTTATAACAGTAGAAACCTTAGCCATTCATAAAGGCAGAATTAGAAAAAGAATTATTGAAAATCCCTTTAAGTCCAAATCCTAGTGTATCATATATAACAAAATATTAGAAGAAGGTAATTCTCATTCCTTGTCATCTCATGAATTTTCATGTCATCCTGTAAAACATTTCTACAACACAATTATTTTGGTGAACAGGCCAGCAACTATAACTATGGAAATTAGATGGGATTTTGTAAGCCACAAACCACTGGTATTATTTAGGTGTATGAATATAAAGTTTATCAGAACAGCATGGTCAGGTGCAGCTACCCAACTTCCCTGGAAGGAGCCATGAGATGTTGAACATATTGAGTGCACTAACAAGTCGGAATCGAGAATGTTTTATAACTCTCTCATATGACTAGGAACTATAATCTTAATTATTCAGTAGTTAAAGTGGGACCAGTCTTCTGTATACACTCCAGCCTACACTATAGCATTGGCTGCTGCTGTAACGTGCCTCCAGCATCTGAGGCAGCTCCAGTTTTTTCACACATGAGAATTCCTAGCAGTAATGTAGATGGGTGTAGAGTAAGGGTTTAAGCATTTAAATAAATATGGGAGCTACACAAAAACAACATTTCTAAATATATTTTTTTTAATGGTCCTGCAAAGGGAGTTTGCCAATAAAAAACCTATCTGCTGAAAGATTTACTGGGGGAAACAATATCACTGTTAAGGGATGAGCAGGAGAAAAAGTAATAAAATGGATGCTAAAATGTAAATGCTATTTAATTAAAACAAAGTTTGAGAGTGTTCTATGCACTGTTTAGGATTAACTACACAGATTCCTTCAGACCAAATATGTAGCTTAAGAGGAGTGAGCTTGTGCATATATTCAGACTCCGAAGAACAATTTAATGCAATTTTGTAACAGAAGCCTTCTTGCCTTTCTTTCTTTCTGTATAATAAACTAGATAAGGAGTACTGAAATCTAGTTCAAAGTTGAATAGTAGGAAGAAGTGTCCCCTCTAATGATCCATTGCCTCTCCGTGAGAGGCATCCCTGCTCAGCAGCCTCATGCTGATTCACATTTCAGATACTGGTGTCTGTCCCAGGCTCACTTAAAGGTCATACTTGGACTCTAAGGATGCAATTTAAAACTTAGCTGAGCTCTGAAAATAACCTTTCATCTTTAATGATGTTTTATAATCTCCCTGCGAAATGCTAATAATACATAAGCCTTGTTGCAGTAATTATGTTTACCAAAACCATAAGTCTTCAAGTGTTGATATGCTGCGGTTTAGATCCTGATGACCAAACCCCTGTGCAAGCACATTAATTTTCATTTAACTGATATACTTTTTTAACTCTCCACACAAGTTCCCCTGCCATTTAGAGCCAAGGAAAGAAGGAAAACAGAAGCTACTCCAGCCATCCTTCCTCCCTCTTCTCTCTTCTAGCTTTATTTCTCTCTTTCTTCTTTCAGAAAAGGTCTCCTGTGACGGATCACATCAACTCAGTGTGGCAGAAAACAGCAGCTGCAGGCAAATTCAAATAGCAGGAAGACTATGATAATGTCATGCATTAAAAGGGTCATATTGTTACTGAGAATTTGCCATACCATTTTTATATATCCTTACATACTGATAATTAAGACACTTGGGACACCCATTTGCCATGAAAACAGAAGTAACTCTTGGCTGCTATGATGAAGCCAGCACCTTAGAAGAAATAAAATGCAACAGAGATATAAGAAAATGGTCTGGGTCCCAGATATTTGTCAAGAGATGGAGTAAACCTGCACCCTTATGTAGTTCTCAATGTTTTTTCTAAATGCCATGTCTTAGACTTGCAT